GGGGTTTTGGCATTGCTATCGTCGTACTTCGAAACCTCAGTCAAGTTTCCGCCTTAAAATGGCGTTTCAAGGAATCCATTTTCTCGTATTTTTTACGGGTATGTGGTCATATAGATAAAGTGTGAATCAACCATGGAGATGAAAGACTTCGCGCGAAAGACCACCTAGTTTTAACCAACGATTACTTGACCAGCAAGTGCTGTAAATTTTTTTCAAGCTGACAGCGGTAAAAGCCTTGTAGTACTGTTCCCGCGCAGTTGCACCGTGCTCTCACTAAGTTCACACTGTTTGCGGCTTTCTTCAATTACCTTTCAATACAGTTGGGCTTCAGGTGGGTTATAGCCGTCCCGTCGACTCGACAAGCTTGCTGAATCAATTTCACTAATGAGATACACATACAACTTACGCGGCGGCAACCCGGTATTTTGGCCCATCCAGTTTTTGAGCTGTCCAAAATATAGTCGATGTTGACAAGTGACTAACTGGAAATACACTTGAATCTCTAGTTCAACTAAATCTTGTTCACAAGGGAGCCGTAAATTTTACTTGTGACAACAACTGCAATGTAGTTTCGTCCAGAATTGAGTGCCATGGATATATATATGCCCACCCTCCCGATCTATGTCATGGTGTAAGTCAGAGTTATTTGTAAATTCTTCCAACCTGTCTAAGCAGCCCCAGGGAACCATCAGGTACTATATTTAGATGCGTGGTACATTTGTTCCGTGGTTGCTTATTCAAAGTTTTTCTTGAGTATTTTTTATCGGTAATGAAATACAAACCTGCATTCCACAGCGTGAGTGACATTTATCTCGCGGAACAGAGTTATCACGAAGGATCCGAATTCCTGGTGCGGTTTACGGCATTGCCGGTAGATTAGGTAGAATTCAACCGCGCATTGGCATTTTCTCCCGAGCGCTGGTCAACCAATTAGGATGAACAACGCGTTGCCTAATCCACTGGGAATCAGCTTTTCATAGAGCAGTTACTACTCTTAGAAGTCCCCCAACTGTTGTTTATTTGGATGTGCGATACTACTGTCGTTGGCTTTTTATCCGTTGAATGATGTTTTGTATCAAATCATTGTGCGCGTGTCATTCTCAAATCCACCATGGTGAGAGCGGTAGGAATAACATCACCTAATAAATCATTCGACAAAGTATATTCAACATGTTCGAACTGGGCCTTTCAATCAGGGTTTGAGATGAAAACCCTGTTTTTCGGACGTCTATTCATTTGTTGTTTACGTATATCGGGATGGGGAGCAATGCACCCTCCTCTGTGAAACGTTTCCCCTGTTGATGTACAGCGTGCGGACCAAATCGGTCGGACGAATATCCCAGAACTATTCGTATGATTGATGAGTATTGCTCACTGTGAAAGCTTTTAGTCCAGTTATGGGAATTCGCTCGTTTTTCAGCTATTTAGGTATCACGGGGATTTTCCGGAATAACCTGTCGCACAAGTTGAAACTAGCATCACACCGGTTTCTTTTACATTTCTTTGTTCGACTCATTCATGGTTCAAGTTATTCTAAGATAGTTCATGAGAAAGGTCGTTACTTTCAATAAAACGGCACACAAAGAAGCCCGTTTACCATAGATTATCTTATCCTTAAAGGTTGACAATCCGATTGTAAGGAAAATAAATCAATCTCTTCTGGGACAGCTTCTTTCAAAAGCGTTTTCGGAATTCGGAAAAGTATAGGTTGAACTGCACTCAGTACTCGCTCTATGGGAACGAACCCAGGATTCATATTACTCCCTTCCAACCCATGTCTTCCACATGATGGTGCGCATTGAGACTTTTGGGCATGATGGAATCGCATTCGGTCAAAATGGACGAATTTTGCGTCATTGACTGGGGAGATGGCTCTGAGCGCTCACCTAATCAGACTTTCTTAATTACCTGGTACCGTAGAAGTGACGATGACCTTCAGATCTCAGTTAATGTAACTGAAGTATTCGTAATGGAATATTTCTTGCAGAAAAACCAACACACTCGCCAAGGGTTGATGTGGTTATTTGATGCAACCCTCTGCCAAGCCAACAGGAAGAATTCTAAGACCTCCGAGGTTGTTCACAAGTTGCTCAAACACTTCGACGTTCACTATTTCAGCACATAAAACTACGAAGAAAATACATTGAAAGTCTGTAGTCGGGAAATGGACGGGGCTTTGGTCATTTGAAGTTCTTATTTACAAAATTTCTACACGCATACCTCTTTTTTGAAATGTCCTTCAGCTCTTCTGGCTAAATTAATTTGTTTTGTTACTAGCTCAGTAATAGAGAGTTTTCGATAGAGATTTTTTTATGTAAGCCTAATCAATCTATGCTGATGAAAGTTGCTTCCTTATTGAGAATCATCAACAGCGTTTATTCCATGAAATTCAGGAAAGGAGAATTCCCGCAACTTCATTTCTAGTAGTTTGAAAACTCAACCACTCAGTAGTATAATCAGCTCGCCCCCGGACAGATACATTGCCAACCATCATACACTTACAGGATTCACAAAACGTGATCACAAGAGTTGGCTGGCTGCTTTAGTAGTCTTTCCCCCAGCTGAAAGTTTCCCTCGTCTCTTGAAATCCCTCTGTTTCATGTGCACGGCCAGAAAGAACCATCTTACTCGAGTTTGCCCACAAACATTGCTTTTCCTCAGCTCCAAACATTTGGCACTAGAAGCTATCGTTCTACTTCTCATCATCCGGAAACAACTATCAAACAGCAATATCAATATGATTCTATGTGAACAAAACTCTCTTTCAAACCTGTGACCGATTTACGGTCAGTTTGACTGCTTAGTATTGGACCTGTCGGCCAGCGGGGGTCAAACCACGAGCATGCCTGAGGTGCGAATCTTGACTGTGCTAACGCTTACCGCTCCGTAAAGAGCATTAAGTATTGTTTGTCCTTTCTTCGGTTATCGGCCTTTAAACGCGTGTTTCCACACCAAAAATTCTTACAGACGATGGGATTCATCTTGTCTGACTGAAGCTGTTGGTGGCATGACTTCGAAAGAGACTCTTCTCTCCTCATCTCATATTCTCCTTTAACCCTTCCACAGTCATCACTTGCATTTGCTTCTTATATCTCTGACCGTGCTCTTCAAAAATGATCGATAGTAAGGAAGTAAAAATCCACAGTTTGTTGCTACTCGCTAATCATTAGAGCCAATGTAGTTCCGAGGAAGTATGACCGGCGAGCGAATATACGGTGGTCTGTAACATGACACCTGCATGACGCCTCAAGCCATTAGTTTGTTGTGACTTTTGATGACGGCACCCCTCGAGTATCATCTTGTAAGGGTTTCAGCTACAATGGCAGAAGAAGAACTGTTCATAGGAAAGTTAAGTCTGACTTTCAGACATAAATGTGGTTACTCCCCTGAGCCATGTGACTGAAGAGCACATGATTATCACGTGCCAGGGCACCGATCCCGCCAAATGTTTCCTGTTAGTATGGCGATGCAGTACAACATAAGCAAACTGAAATTATCCACAGTGACGTGTTCGTCCCGAGAGATGGCTGATGTTTTGTGTGATGCAATTTTTTTTGTTTAAACGTGCTTTGTGCATATCCTTGACGTCACGTGGTCCAACTTGCTGGTAAAATAATTTCTCTTCAGTTCAAAGTACGGATCACAATTGCGGCCATGTTTGAGTTCAGTTCCATCCTGTTGCATGCTGAATCCTTCGTATACAATGCATTATAAACAAAGGAAGTCTTTGGATTTTGGGATACTGTATAATTTGATCTGCCATGTAGACCTTAGTTTCGAAGTTGAACGAGAAACTATCTATCGTATCAATATGTTGGACAATCTTTTCAACTTAGTTTGTTGTTGCTCAGTCTAAAGAATGTGAGAAACGCCCTAAACACTATTTTGCAAGAAACACTCGCAAGTGTTGACAATTTTTTACCATAAGCTACTTTTTCTTGCAATAATTGTGTAAAGATGTCGCAGGACAGTTCATTCGAGCACATTCCACTGAATATTGACATCACGTGGCATTTAGATGACTGGATGTACTACTGAAAGGAAGAAGGCCTTTGCTGCGGAGTTATTTAATTAGGAAATGCCAACTGACCGGTTACAGGCCGTTGAACAGGGAAGCAAAACTCTAATCTGCATCTTAGTTACAAAAACTGGACACCGATCTTCTTCCGAACGAGTCTTCTTAAACTTTCCTGGAGATTCATTGACTCCACTCATTCATCGGTCAAATCCAAGCAAACGTTACAAAGTGGCTGCACAAATTCCGCAACAGGTCTCCCTTTTTCAATGTCACTGTTACATTATCACGTTTAATTTTAACAACAACCTCATTTATTGGCCTCCGCAGGTTTCTGCAAAACACAGGGGAAGAAAAACTCCAGTTTGACTCTCGGCCAATTGCCAGGTGCTACCCAGACTATCCTCTGGAAACAGTACCGCAAGAGCCAGTCTTCATTCACCCAGAGAGTTAAGTGTTTCAGTCCGATGTACTGTAGGAAGTTAAGGATCGTGGATTTGACTGCAGCTAGTTATCAAGAGAGTGAATTTAGAGAGCGATGTGATTACTGTGAGCAAAGATTACAGGCTATCAGGTATACGGCGAGGTCTGGTCAAAATAACAGATATTTCCCCTCAAGTTTTACCATTGAATATCATTTTTTTAAAATGTGAAATCCGAATTTGCTTACTGTACCTGTATTGTCAAAGAACCGTGTACCACTCTGTCCATGTGATGCAGTTACCTTCAACTCGGCGATAAGGGTTCGCTGTGGTCAGGGTTGCAAATAAAGAACGAACTTCGTTACAAGCTGTTCTCTCCACGACAGAAGTAACCATTATAATGTGAGCGGAATATACTGAGGTTGTCCCGAAATCAGCGGTTTTTAAAAGTATTTGGAGAAGCAACTAAGTATTACACCGCAACATACATGACCCTCAACCTCCCTTTACAACGAAATTATCTGTGTGCTTCCGAGGAAAATGGAAAACGCACATCCTCGTGGCATCTGCCAGGTTATTACTTTAGCTTAAGTTGTTTTGATTTCTATGATCGTACTACAGGAAAGCTGGCGCTCGATAAATACCCCGTCTACTTCTGTTAGAACGAAAAGGTCGACCATTTCGATTGGGGATCAAAATGCACAATCGGTGACTGAGAGTTCATGCAACAAAAACCCTCACAAAGTGTTCCGACATTGTAACCGATATGGGCGTAATGCACTACTCATAAGGTCCTTGGTGGTGTGTTACGTCTATACTTGTGTCGCCATATCTCGTGCCAATCAAAACATGAGGTGACTTGGTGCAGCAAATTCAGTTGCCTGGAAACATCACAAATTAGAGAATCATCCGGGCTCCAGGTGCGTCTTTCGCTAAACCAAACTGGTTTGCAAATGAGTGTATTTCGCTAATTGTAACCGATAGTTTTAGTTGGCAAGCCCATAATCATCTGCCTCACCGGTAGATGAAGTAATTTGTCAACTTTGTCATCACTTTTCACCAGGCCTCTCAAATGTCGTTTAGAAAGTTTAAGCTGGACAGTCGAGGTGGGAAAACTGGCAATTATATTCGATTGGATGTTCGTGGAATCCAATCAGTTGTCACTGTAACCAGTCGAGATAGTTCTGGCTACCACTGAGTCAACACAATCCAGGAGTATAGGTCAGAAAAGGAAGTCACGGACATGCCTGTCTGAAAAATGTGGGCTATCCGAACAGTTGTTTGAGGTAAAAAAAACGCCAAACCGGTCCGCTTCAGGCTTTATTCTCGGAGCAAAGCTACCCCGAACATGGATAATGCCATGTGTAATCAGTAATCGGGTACTTCAGGAAAAAGTTTCTTTCTCGCTCGAATTCAACCTGATCAATTCAACCTGACAAACTCATTGTTAGTAGAGGTATAATTAGTCATCAAGCTTTTCCTAACGCAAGGCAAAGATACAACTAAAACAGCAAACGTGTCAGAAAACCAATGTTCTCACGTTACCAGATATGTAAGAATGGATCAAGTGGAGACAAATCCTTCGCTTGCGACAATCTGAACACTGAAACTCTCGGTAACTATGACTCCAGACTTTTTTTGATAGGAAAATTTATGCATCGATGCTAGATATAGATTCTTTTCTAAAGCACTGCAGGAGTAGTGCGAAAAACCCGCTCACAAAATACCAGCCAAAATTTTTTTTTGAAAAACGCATTGCATTTTTTGAATCTCCCACACATGGTTCGTCGCGCGTGTAAAATAATATCCAGGCCGCTGTTTTGCAGGGATTGACATTTTTGGTCGCTTTTTTTTAATTTGTTGGTCGTGTGTAGAAGCGTCCGTCACTGGACTGATACCGGTCACACACCATTCAGACCCAGTCAAATTTTCCATTGTGATGTGACATGATTGAGGTGTGTTGTCTCGTGAACAATTGAGGTTAGGAAATATTATCCGCGATGGCGTTTTTTGCTCGATGTTCCGAGAGATTCCGTTCGTGCGGTTAAACGTGCGTGGTTCCTGGCTGACTTACAGTTCTGCCCAACCTTGAAACTCCGTCACTGGACAGAATATTCGAGCAAATCCCAGAGATAAACATTATATTGAAACTAAAAAACATGTGTTCGCTCACCACAAAGAGACTGGGCTTCTAAGAAAAACATTAGGTGATCAGGCGTTGTCGCTAAGGCACAGTGTAGGGTGGTGGGGGATCGTACGATGCGCCATTCGGATGGTTGCCAAGGCGATAAAAGCGCCAAAAATGCGACACGGGAAAATCAATCGGTGATTAGAATTGGGCGAGTTTACGAGAACTCGGACAAACAGGAGTTTCAAGTTTACTGGTCAAGTAAACGGCATCTTCCGTGTTGCATTGCGGACTAGACATTACCTGGCTGGGAGTGACATCGGTGTAGTGCCACTAGCCCGCCAAAATATGGGTGTTATTCCAACCCCGATAGCCGTTTTATTGTTAGCTTCTTTGCCAGTGCCTTTTTCGCTTGTTTGGTCCCATTTCCAAATGCGTCTGCTGTGTTTTTAAGAGACAATGATGCCTCCATCAAAACTGCTTGCAGCCGGAAGCTTGGTGTTGCCTCTTTCCGATTACCAACTTAATCACTTTGTTGAGTGTCATATGTTGCTCCTTTGTACACTGGTTGCGTATCAAAAGGATCGATCGGCATATCTCCTTCAATGTAGCTACAACGATACAAAATAAGTTCCTTTATGAAGGTCGAACATACTTAGCCTCGGTTTGTTGATCCTGGTTACTAAACTCAACCGAGTCTTGAAAGTGCCATCAGAGCGAATGCCCACAGGTTAGCTCTGCAAACAGACAAGAATATGACACGGATATCCTCAGTTCGCACGTACTACGTTTATGCGGTTAACTGTTTGATCTTTGTCAGCTGTCCCTAGACAAGGCATTAGAAACTGCGACTTTTTTGAGAATGTATTTCGAAAAATCCCGTTTAACATAGGAATAGACATGCTAGACAGATTCTCTTATAACAGCGAAAGCAGTGATGCTTACTGAAACGCAGAGATAATTCAAATGTCTTCTTGCGGTCTTGAATGTAACAACACGCCATCATGTCTGGACGTGGTAAGGCAAATGAAGAACTCGGGAAAAGAGGAGCGAAACGCCATCGCCAAGTTCTCCGGGATAACATCCAGGAGGTCACCAAGCCGGCAATCCACCACCTCGCTCGCCGAAGTGGTGTGAAAGGCATCCCCGGTCTGACTTACGAGGAAACCCGCGGTGTCCTCAAGTTGTTCGTTGAGAACGTCATCCGTGATGCCGTCACCGAGCAAGTCAAGCGAAAGAGCGTCACTGCCTTAAAACGCCAACGCTGCACTTTCTACGCCTTCGGTGGTTAATTCCGCTTTGGTCATTCCTTCCGCAAAAGAACACCACTTCATGCCATCCACTCTTAAACGGACGCCGTCTTCTGCACACGGAACCAGAGTCCAACAAAGTTCATCAAAATTAATTACATTGAATACGTGGTTTCGGATATTAGCAGTGTCACTGTGGTACGAATTACTGGAATTTACAACCCGCTAATAATTATTGGTCAGTATTGCAGATCAGTTTCAACTGGAGCCTCCTCATTTCGTTACGGATTTGCCCGCGTTCCTTGCTGTTGCCAAGAAGTATTCATCCAGGAGAATCTCTTCGCTGCACAGGGGATGTTAAAGTCGCCTACATTTCAATGTTTTGTTCACACAGAACGCTATGTTTTTTAAAAAAAATCGTTCAACTATAAAACCCTTCCAGCGCCAAGTTGCCATGCCACCCGAAGGAAGCACGAGAGCTGAGATACTGCCAGATTGCCCAAGCCGAGACAGGGGAAGTTGAGAGGCAGGGGTTGGGTTCGAACCACGGACTTTCCGGCCAGTAAATTAACGCTCCAACCACTCGAGCCATCACAGCTATTTCCCATTTGGCCGACAGCTGCCGCTTTTCTGGATGGGGGCTCCGGGACGCAGCTCATCCATGACACAGGCAGACAGGAGGCAGTCAGTACTCCTCCCCTGTGGATTAAAGCTATTGCCTTCAACACCTAACTGCCGATTTCCACAAACTAACAGATTATTCGATTGTCCCCAGTGTTTGGCTGTATCTTTCAAGCTTTCCCACATTCACGTAATGAAAACTGTAGCAGCTGGAACCCAAGTGCACTTGGTTCACATAAACTGAGCGCATATTTCTGATTTACAGGATCATTCTGTTTCAGTCAATTTAGAACTGAGAAGGCATGGCTCACTGGGGTATTACTAGTGTGCTGTGTGCAGGGATACACACACTGCTTCAAAGTTTAGCGGGTTTGGAGCAATTCAGAATTTCCAGCAATCGAACCGCGGTTGGATTCGGTCCAAATAGTCTCAGCCTCGTTGACTGAGGAAGAGAAGTGAGAGGAGCTTCCTGTAGGTGGTTTCTGAAGTACACTTCGACTTTCTTCGCTTTACATCTTACAAATTAGGCAAAATAATTCAAGGCTTCTACTTTAGCCTCAAAGGTTAAAAACACTGCAAAGGAAGCTGTACCAGATAGGCGAAAGCGCATTAATTCCTAGGGAATATACACAGCAAACGTGAATTGGTACTCGATAATCGTGGTTTATTTGGAAATCAGGACACAACTTACAACGGACACGAGAACGCAGATGGTGGTTTGAACGATGTTCGCAAGCAGAAACTTGTAATGAAAACATGAGACCGTTAGAAACACAAGGCGGCTGAAATGCACTTCTAACTTTCCGTAGCGAATGAGGAGGCACATGAGGATCTATCTGAGATGAACGCATTTTTAAACGGCTTACAGAGTATACCAGTTAGTTAATACTTATGGGTCATGCGTTGTGCTCGAATGGGGCAAATGCACACGTTGCCGGGTGGAGTAGCCGCGGAAAACTGCCTGAATTTTGGTAGCCGCCTCATCGGGATCGGCTATGTGATGGGACGAAGTGTGGTGTTGATGTATCGACTCAGGCA